ACCACCATCTTCATCAATCGCTCATCACTTCCAATGACATCAGAGACACTGTCCACAACAACTTCCATTGTCGGAATCTTTCTTCCCCACCTCTTCATTAGCCTCTCCGAGTTATAAATCTCATCGTAAACTCCCCAATAAGATGCTCGCAACAACCCTTTATCCTTCCCTTTTACCTTCCATCTCTTCATCCCTTCCTCCACCATGTAAACCGCGTTCCCTGCATCTACGCCTCTCTCTAAACCCATTTCGACCTCTCTAATCTCTTGGTTGGTAACATCCAAGAGACTCTCAAACTTGCATCTACTGCATCCGCAACAAAATCCCCATGACTCAGCCATCTCTTTCCGTTTTTCCAATGGAGAAAGCACGTCGAAGTAAGCAAAAGTGATCTCTTCCCCAGCTTTGATGTCTCTCGAGGCGTGAACAATCGCGTAGTCTCCAACGTGAAGTCTTCTTGCGTTTGGGATACACGAGTGGTTGATGAATGAAGCTAGGATCCATAGCCCTACACCGTAATACTCTTTGTTCTTCCCCAAAACTTTAGCAGAAACCGCATCTTCCACAAGAGAATTCACATCTAGGATGCTTAGTAGCTTCTCCACATCCATATTCTGTTTCGAGTCATCGTAGATTCCAAATGCCTCATCAGTCCTAAAGAGAGATATGTCTGGAATCTCCAGATTGTCTTCGTCTTTTCCAGTGGACAAAGTGGAGACAAGTCGATGTGTTCGATCACATTTCCTCACTGATTCCGTAACCTCTTGGATGAAATTCTTCCACATGATCAGTTGCGCTTTTTCGCCAGACTCTCCACTTGCCAAAATCCCTCTCTCGGTTGCAACAGCCTTTGTGACTATAATCAAAGTCCCTGCAACAATGTTCTTCGTGGCAAACAATCCACGTCCACTAACCTCAGATTTCTTAATCTCAATCGACCCAATAAACTCAGCAAGCTCCGGAGATCTCCCAGAAAACCCACTTAAGATCCAATCAGACAAATCGAAAGCTCCAGTCTTTGCCTGAAACTCGAGCTTCTTGCATTTCTCCATGTACCCAGTAACAGTCTCCAAGTTATCACTCGCTTGTGGGTCGAGCAGAGCCGTTTTAAAACAGTCCAAGGCCGATGAGTATTTGCTCAATCCGAGCAAGACTTTACCTTTACAAAGAAGAGTCTTGAAATGGGTGCTTTCGATTTCAAGTGCTTCATCACAATCCCGCATCGCTTCTGAGAAATCACGGAGCCTTGCTCTTGCCTCAGCTCGATTGCTTAGAGCCAAACAGAGCGATTTCCGGAGCTTCGGAATCGAATCCGGGTCCAGGTCGGATCCATCAAGATTTGAGATTTGGCTCCTCCGGGAGAGATCGATAAACATGGTGTAAACTTGTATAGATTCCTCCCATTCTTCCCGGAGAAGAAGCTCCGTCGCTTTGGATCTCAGGCTCTGCAACAGCTCCGATGGTCCTTGTCGATCTTCATCTCCATGTCCCATTTGTCTACTTCCTGAGATATATTAATCAAATTTGTTGGGATTATTTGGCTTAAATGCTAAGGTTTTGTAACGGTCGGATTTTTGTCTACAAAAAAGAACCAATTTTTAACACCATCGATTTTGTCCCCACTTGCCTGTAACGGTCATGAACTACTTTAAAAAAGAAACATACTCCATTTTAATCAGTAAGAAAAATCAGAATTTGCATATAATATTTAGCTGATTCATTATAAGTCAATCTGACCTATTAACCATTTGTGACCATAAAAAAAGAAGAGCTATTAACAATTTAGTTAGACCAACTGATCTGCTTTTCACCGCACTAATCAAAAGTCTTCAATATCAAAATGCATTATTAAGCAAAAGAGTATTTGTTTTGTAAGCTTCACAAGTGAACCACTGTTTGTTTTGTAAGCCTAGTGATATCATTCCCCTCAGACACAGCAAGACCAATCCCTGTTCTTCCTCCATTACCAGCACCTCTGTAATACAATCTCCATTGATGATCAGAATCTCCATCCATCTCAATCAAATACGGACATCCAACTCCTTTGTTGTCCCACGCACCGTCTTTACCAACCGCAATCACCGCTTCCTTGCTTGGCAATCGTTTCCAATCATGTAACCCGTCTTTCGAAACCGCCAAGCCAATGCTCATCTTCCCGTTTCTATCCACACCTTCATAGGCCATCACATAACTCCCATCTCTCTTGTTTCTTGTCACGCAAGGATATCTTCCTCCGAGCTCGTCGAAGAACCCCGATCCATCTTTTTCGGATTTTCTTCCTCCTATGATCTTCCCCAATTTCACCCACTTGATCCCTTCCCTAGATCTCGCCATCCCAATGCAGAATTCACCGGCGTTCGCATCAAAGGAATGGTAATACATCCTTAGATCGCCACTTCCATGGAAAACTACATGTGGGGATGCAATATATAGAAAGTCCCAATCTTTTTCAGACCCAACATCAAACAAGGCACCACTATGATGCTCACCTTCAATTCTAGCCCAATGCCTACCATCTTGACTAATCGCCAACCCGGGGAGTGACCTAAAAACCCTAGATTTCTCAGCATTCCCATCACAAAGGTTAAACCTTTCTGGATTTCCCAACCCAAAAGTGAAACCTTGGGATTCAAACTCAACCGTCTCGGTCGTATAGCCTGTGTAGTACATCCAGTAAACAGAGCTATTAGCCCTGACTTTGGAACTCGACATTATCACGACTTCACCAGGTCGAACACTTGCCTTATCAAATGCCCACCAATCTTCACAAGAGCTCATGACCAAACCCACATCGTCGTTTGACTCGACCTTTTCTTTCCCTCTTTCCCAGTGAATCCCATTGTTTGAAACCGCTAATCCGATAGAATCGGAATCTGGGCATTGCTTGGAGCTTCTTCCATGGTACCACATGTACCATCTCTCTTCGTTATCGCTTAGAAATCTCTTCACAACCGGAGACCCAGTCTCCTCCCTGTCCCACGAATCCGTCGAAAGCCCCAAATCCAAAACCAGCCCTCTTGTCGAGGTCAATGAGCAATCGGTCGAATCTTGACCCGGTTCGCTACTTTTGGTGGTTGTGAGCGAGAAAGGAAGAAAACGTTTGTTTTTGTAAGTAAGGTTTTGAAGCGAGAGAATGGTTGATCTGTGATGTCGAATTGTTCTCCAAGCGGTGATAATGGAGGGATTTCCAAGGAATTTGACGGTAGAAGCTTCCATGGCTTGAGATGCTGCTCTGATTGAGCGGTCCAGTGAGTAGCGACAGTGGCAACGGGCCACAGATTTTTGTTGGGTGATTTGCCAGTTGCCACTTCAAATACGACACGTGTCTGATGTTCAATGGTGAATTTATCGTCTTGGATAAATCGAGAAATTCGTATTGGGCTTACAAAAACTAATAATCCAAGGTTTCATTAATCATATACCAGATAGTTCTTGGGTGTCGGATAAGGAAAAAGCTGGAATAGATTAGAGATGCTAATGGATCATGGGGGAAAAGTTATAATGAAAGGTTCAACTTCAATTGATCCGATTGCGAGCCTTTTAGAAGCTGAAGCTTTTGTAATGCGGGATGCAGTTCAGCAAGTTAAGAGGCATGGTTACATAAATGTAGCTTTCTTTGGAGATTCGAAGGTCTTATGTAACACGTTAAGTAAGTGCTTGAAAAGGGAGCAAAAAGGAGGAAGCCAAGAAGCTCTCACTTATTGTGAGGATATCAAGAGAATAGTTAGTGAGGGTTTTGGTTTCACTTTTGATTGGATCCCTAGAGAGGTAATTCAAGAGGTTGATGTTTTAGCAACAAAAGCTAGGAACTTGAAGTCAAAGTATGTAATCACTTGGTTTCCTATTGTATAATTATGGTCATCATGATTTTTGTATCTTTTTTAAGTAACGGAAATGTTAGTCGATAAAAAAAAAAAATTCAAGGTTTATTCTTTGTTGTACACAGTTAAAAGCGAATAATGCATTGTGAGACACTTTTAAAGGTTTATAATATGCCAAATCAAGCTTACTAGGATTCGATCTAAAAAAAAAGCTAACTAAGATAATATCCGCGCTGTGCGCATGTTATTATATAAAAGAGAATGTGCGCGATGAGAATGCAATATAAAACAAAATTATAACTCACCAGATTACAACACATGTAATTATAATTTACATTGTGATATATGTCAATATTAACAAATAATTGAAAAATGAAAATAGGAAATATATATTATCCAAACCAGGATTATGGAACAAATAACAAAAAAAAATCATCATACTAAAAAAAAGCAATATTTCTAAATTGTCATATTACAAAATACATTCTTTCCATTTCAAATTATCTAAAATTTCAATAACAAAACAATCTTTTATAGCACGTCATATTGTGTCATATTGTAAGTATCATTTTGCTAATATAATAACATGTATGAGACAATTTAGTATGAGATAAATATATTAAATTAATGATTTAATATGATATTATAATAAAATAAATGGTAAATATATGTCCATGGTCGTAATTTAGAATCTAATTACATTAGTCAAATTATAAGAATTATCAATTTCAAAATCAAAAATATTTACCGCATTGCGGCTATATATTAGCTTAACACGTAAGCAAAATTATAACTCACCATATCGCGACACATGTGTTTAATATTGATCAGATGATGACATGTGTTAACACTTAAAATTGATTAGCAAAACGAAATTTAAAATCGAAACTAATAAAATAATTGTCAAGTTACTAACTAAATAGTAAAAAGTAAAATTTCTAATAATTCATACTAAATTGGTTTTTTTTTGGTCAAACAATAATTCATACTAATTAAGAAACAAAAATTAAGATGGAACATAGAGAGAACATAAGCTATATATTTTTCTCTTTTATTAAGAATATGATTTAATTTTATATTATATACATTTTTGGATTTGTATGATATAAATTACGACATGAGAATTATGATATAATTTTGACCTCTATTAGTTTTAGGATCCATGTTAAATAGTATTTTAAAATTTTACGGGTTACTAATTAAAATTAAAATATTTTTTCCGTTAATTTTTATTGTATTTACCCACGTATTAAGTATTATTTGATTTAGAGTTTTTTGAACTATTGATGTCAATATCTTATTTTGAATAGTTCAATTGAATTATATGTTCAAGGAAAACTATTTATAATAGTTCAATTAAATCA